TCTAACCATCTACAAGGTACGATACCAACAGATTCTAACCATCTACAAGGTACGATACCAACAGGTTCTAACCATCTACAAGGTACGATACCAACAGGTTCTAACCATCTACAAGGTACAATATCAACAGGTTCTAACCATCTACAAGATACGATACCAACAGGTTCTAACCATCTAGTAGGTACAATACCAACAGGTTCTAACCATCCACAAGGTACAATACCAATAGGTTCTAACCATCTACAAGGTACAATACCAACAGGTTCTAACCATGTACTAATAAGTTCTTTGTCACCAACCTTGCTCTTCTTGGGTTTTAAGATGATTTCTATCGTCGAAGGTATCTGATGAATTTCTTCTCCGATGATTTCTCCATCCCGTACCATGTCCATCTCTCCAACTTCCATCTGTCTCTGTTCTCGTTGTCGTAGCCGCAGCTTCTTTATTTTTGCCTGTTCCCTTTCTTCCCACAGCCAGTTGGACAGCAGGGGACTCTATGACATCATAAAAAACATCTATCAAACTTTCTACTGGACTTTTATAACAATTCACAGAAATATAATTTTCACACTAGCTTCCACATAGAAAAAACGTGTAGAATTAAATTAAATAATTAATTAGAAATGGCAAAAAAATATCCAATCACAGATTGACTGAGATTCTGAGGTTAAATAGCAAGATTTATTATGTCTAAAACATTTCCAGCATTATATGAAAATACTCTGAGTACAGAACTTTGGTGATGGTTAATATAAATAACTTACTGAGGGAGGAGCAGAGACTGGAGTCCAGGTGACTGGATGCTGGTTAGAGAGTCCAATGGGACGACTCATTACAGGGATGTATTTCTGTAATAAGTCAATATTTAACGCTACAGAAATAAGTAACAACTGCTATATAATAACAGGTTAATAAGTAAAACTATATTAATTTCTGAAGTTCAAAGTGGTTTTCGAGAACAAAAAAGGCATTGAAAAGTGCTGGTCATGTACTTAGAGCTTATTGCTCTTATACAATCTGACTGTTTCTTCTTGACGTTAGATGATTAATGTACATCATGTTACATCATGATGATTAATGTACATCATATTACATCATGATGATTAATGTACATCATATTACATCATGATGATTAATGTACATCACGTTACATCATGATGATTAATGTACATCACGTTACATCATGATGATTAATGTACATCACGTTACATCACGATGATTAATGTACATCACGTTACATCATGATGATTAATATAAATCATGTTACATCATGATTATTAATGTACATCACGATGATTAGTGTACACCATGTTACTTCATGATGATTAATGTACATCATGATGATTAGTGTACACCATGTTACTTCATGATGATTAATGTACATCATGATGATTAGTGTACACCATGTTACTTCATGATGATTAATGTACATCTCGTTACATCACGATGATTAATGTATATCATGTTACATCATGATGATTAGTGTACACCATGTTACATCATGATGATTAATGTACACCAGGTTACATCACGATGATTAATGCACATCATGTTACATCATGATGATTAATGTACATCATATTACTTCATGATGATTAATGTACACCATGTTACATCATGATGATTAATGTACATCATGATGTTTAATGTACGTCATGTTTACATCATGATGATTAATGTACGTCATGTTTACATCATGATGATTAATGTACATCATGATGTTAGATGATTAATGTACATCATGATGTTAGATGTACACCATGTTACATCATGATGATTAATGTACATCATGTTACATCATGATGTTAGATGATTAATGTACATCATGATGATTAATGTACATCATGATGTTTAATGTACGTCATGTTTACATCATGATGATTAATGTACATTCTGTTACTTCATGAAGATTAATGTACATCATGATGATTATTGTACATCATGAAATGGGCACCCGTTCTTTAAATACCAGTTTGATTTTTACAAAATTCATGAAAGTCTTAATTTATAGAACAATATGTATTTGAATATATCTGAATTTCGATCCAGTACATTTTATAAACAATATATTTGAATTAGTAATAAAACAGTAGTCAAGAGTTTTCAATAACTAGCTCAGGTTAATAGGAAGGTTTCAGATTTGTTATCATAACAATGTGTTTTGTTCACTGTAAAGAAGAAGGTAAACAATTAAAGCCACTTACCTCGACTTGTTCCCTCACTTCAGCTAACGTCGCCACGTGAGTGTAGTACCCTTTAACAGAGAAAAAACGTAATCAAGGATTTGTAAAATACCAACAGAAAGCTGAACTACGATATTGATCCAGAACATTTTCCATTTCTACGTCAATAGATAAACGTTATTTCTACCTCTCAAAAATGCGTTTGTTTGTTTCTTTTGTTTATTTGTTACAAATTAATAAAATCTTATATTCACCTGTCAACAATAGAATCCTGTTTTTATTCGTCTACAAGTAATAAAAGATACTTTTCTGTCTGGGAAATATTACTTTAAATACACACATTTGTGGTTCTATATTAATAACTACGAAGTTGAGGCAAGAAAACGTTAACCGTCAAGGAAATGAGGTAAAACAAGTGTGAAGAATAAGTATCATACTCACCCCTGTTAGCACAGGCCATCCAATTAACTTCTCGTATATCAGTCACCTCTCTACCAATCAGGTAAGTGAACACACGCACCTTGAATTAGCAGATAAAATACTGGTATTAAAGGGTATGATTAAGTCTAACAAGTTTTTCATAGAGTTTACACCGGCTCATAACATTAACCCCAGTCAACAAGGTTTTTAACGAATTTATGTACAGGGAATTTAACACAAAATTTTTGCTAACTCCGTTTAAACACAGAAAGCAAGATATTGTTACGCCTCCAGTCGTTAATTGATTTTCCGTAACTTCGTTCCGACGAAACTTTAGCGACACAAGTCCTTACTTAATAAAACTGGTTTATTCTTTCTGAATATAACTTTACCGATACGCTTATTTTC